TGCATACACTTCATCAGGAGAGAGATTTATTACACCTACGGCTCCTAATCCTCTTGTAATGCATCCTGTTCTCTGCTTTTTAATTTTTTTCCTTTTGTAAGCTGACATCAAATCCTTCATGTTATTGGAATGTTTCTTTGTGTGTTGTATTTCTAAGGGATCCATAAGTAGTACAGGAAGGAAAATCAGAATATTAATGCTACTTGTTTTATTTTACTCACTCATAGTATTCCTTTGGGCTGAGCCCTTGCATTTTGTTCTATTTTCCCCCCTCAAATTCTGAGCTAAATCTCTTAATCTCTTTTGTGCATAAACAGATCTCCAGTGGGAGATTTAACTGCCAACTCAAGAAGGACTAAACATTTAAAGTTTCAGTACCACCTCACAGCTGTGAGTAGTCCTAGTGGATATGTCAAATAATGATGATTTTTGTAGGTTGTATATTTTTTTTTAGGGCACTGATTTTAGCTGGTAAAACTGAAAACAATCATTTTAATTCACTTGCTTTAAACTATATTATGAAGTTTCCATTGTGACCTATTTATGATTGCAGAAGGCAGTGATATACCACATTTGAGCTCTTAAAGTTGTCATGCTCATGGCCTTTTCATCACTGTTGCCATATTTTTATGAGTATTCTCTGAAACTAGTTCTTTCATTATTTATTCTTTATTAAAGAAACACAGCAGGACGTGACAATATATTCATCAACATCCATTTTTTATTCAACCAAATTTTCTAGGGGCCATTTTTTTTTCTTATATGCGTTCGGTTGGTCTTCACTTTAACAACATGACTGAACTGCAACCAAGAGTTTTCCAGGCTGAGAACCCATGACTTGGAGCCAGTTGTACACACCTCCTAGTCAGGGGACAATTGTGGGAGAGATGAATGGTTCAGCAGAAGGACGATTACCACTGAACAAAGGAAACCAGGAACCAAAGAGTTGCTATAATAGTGACATTAGATATTTTTAATGAGCCAAGCTGTCTTAGAGATAAAGATCATCACTGGCATTTCTCGTTGATGATTTATGATATGATTACATTGAGTGTCCTTGTGGCGTCATATGCAGCAGATATTATTTTGATTTTCTTTCTTTCTTTTTTTTGGATTTCATTTTATTCCATGGAGCATAATCAAAGAAAGCCAGAGAGGTTCCTGTTTAATATACCACATTCTATCTGAGCAGATTCCTTTGGTTGAAGAAGAAGAAGAGAGAAGAGGGACTGGCAAGTTTTATCTGGTAGAACAATAACAAACACCACTAGCACTACATCGTTCTCATCTTTACTGAAATGCTACCCTTTACTCCCTAATATAATTTTTTCTTTTTCCATATGCTTCTTCTTAACAGTAGAAATCAGAATAAAACTCAACTTTGAATTAATTTTTGATTTATCTCTTCAGTTGAGCCAGATATTTTCAAATATATCATAATTTCATTAATATTTCAACTCGACATTGAAATAATTTTTGATTTCTTTATCTCTTCGATTGAGCCAGATATTTTCAAATTATCACAATTTCATTAACATTTCAACAGCCCTAGGAAATATTTAGAATCATTAATCTGTTACAGAAACTTACATATTCCATATTTAGTAACTGGTAAAATCAGAATTAAAACCAAAGCAGTCAGGATTAAAACTCAAAAGTCATATACTTCTTATTACATGATGTTAAAATCTTGGTGAATTTCTCTATATAATACATATTATTACTAAAAAGATTTTCAGTATACCAATAATTCATCCTGGGCACACTTCCTTTAAAAATTCCAAGCTGAACTAGATGATATTTTTGCATTCTGAACCTTAGACTCATTCTTTTTTTAAATTGAAGGATTATAGTTAAGCACCAGGATAAGAAAGGGCATTTTAGGACAAAAAGGAAGAGACTGTTTATTTTAACTGATGTAGAAACATTTCATGTTCAATTATAAGCTACTACTTAAGCCAAAGGAAAAAAATAGTTATTGTTTTGATGCCCTACTGTGATATTATAAAAGAAATCATTAAATCACATGACTCACAAAGAAAATGGCAACCCTTCACCAGATGGATGGTAGTAGCATATAATCAGGATCCCAAGATCAGATTTCCCTTCACTTTGGAATGAAATTATGGGTCTGACGTTTGTTTTTAGTTTCTTTCTTTTTAAACTTCAAAGATTCTAGTCAGTGGTTTAACATCTAGAGATTATGAGTTTCATTTTCATTGAGTAAAAGAGAACATTCTAATTTGTTTATAGACTCAGTACTGACCACTCCTATTAGTGTTATATTTGATACTTTAGCTGGATTTTCTAGTGTTTCAGGTTAGATTTTCCTAGAAACAGACTGGAAGCAAGCATTTGAGAGTAAGTAGTTTATTTGGGAAGTCATCCTAGAAAATACCAGTAGGGAAGTGGAAAAGTGAGGCAGGGGGAAATAAAGCCTATACTACATGTGTTTAAGGAGCTAGTTTCTAAAGTAAGTAACTATAGTGGATATTAGTTCTATAACTGTTTACAATGAGATCAGAAATTGAGATTAGGCATTTATAAATGTTTGTAGCAAGTTGATAGTGGCATGATGTAAAAAATAAATTTTTATTGTATTTTAATAAAAACTTCGGTCAGAAACAAACTAATCTGGTACCTCAAAACTGATGGATTTTGCTTTTGTGGCTTGAGTTTTAATGAGATATCAAAAAAAATTATTGCCAAGGTCACTGTCCAGGAACTTTTCTCCTGTGTTATCTTCTGAGACTTTTATAGTTTTTGGTCATATGTTTAGATATTTTATCCATTTTCAGCAATTTTTGTGTATGGTGTCAGACAACAAAAGTTCAGTTCCATTTGTTTGCATGTGAAAATACAGTATTCCCAGCACCATTTGTTTTTGTATTTTTTTTTGGCAAGGCCTCACTCTGTCACCTGTGCTAGAGTGCAGTGGTATGATCCTAACTCACTGCAACCACAAACTCCTGTGCTCAAAAGAGCCTCCTGTCTTAGCCTCCCAAGTTGCTGAGACTACAGGCACACACCACCATGCCCAGCTAATCATTTTTAAATTTTTCGTAGAGCTAGACTCTCACTTTATTCCCCAGGCTGGTCTCAAACTACTGACTTCAAGCAATCTTCCTGCTTCTACCTCCCTGAGTGCTGAGATGATAGGCATGAGCCACTGCGTTCATCCCCCAGCACCATCTATTGAAAAGACTATTCTTTTTCAATTGTGCCTTCTTGGTGCCCTAGTCAAAAATGAGTTGACTATATATGTTTCCATTTATTTCTGGGCTCTCTATTCTGTCCCATTGGGCTATGTGTCTGTTTCTATGCCAGTAGCATATTGTTTTGACTTCCATAACATTGTAATATAATTTAAAATCAAGAAATGTGATACCTCAAACTTTTTATTTCTCAAAATTATTTTGGCTATTCTGAGTCTTTTATGGCTCCATATCATCAAAAAATTTTTTCTGTTCCTGAGAAGAATGCTTTTGGGATTTGATAGGGATTGTGTTGAATCTGTATATTGCTTTGGGCAGTATGGACATGTTTAACAATATTGACTCTTCCAATCTATGAGCACAAGTTATTTTTCCATTTATGTGTGTCTTCTTCAATTTATTTTACCACTATTCAGTAGTTTTCATTGTATATCTTTCACCATTTTTATTAAACTTATTCCTAGGTATTTTTTGATACAATTATAAATGGGACAATTTCTTGACTTCTTTTTTGGTTTGGTCATTATATGTGTATAAAAATGTTACTCATTTGTATGTTGATTTTGTATCTTACAATTTACCTAATTTATTTTTTAGTTCTAATCATTTTTGGGGGATCTTTGGTGTTTTTAATATATATAGGATTATGCCATCTGCAGTAAAGATAATTTTACTTTTTTTTTTTTTTGGTTATTTGAACGCCTTTTATTTGTTTTTCTTGTCTGAGTGCTTTTGCTAATACTTCCATTACTATGCTGAATAAAAGTGAAGGTGAACATCCTATCCAGGATCAGGCCTAGTGAAAAGGCTTTTAGTTTTTTCCCATTGATTATAATGTTAGCTGTGGTTTTTCATAAATGGTTTTTATCATGCTGAGAAACTTTTCTTCTATATCTGAACTGTTATGAGTTTTAATCAGAAAAGAATGTTGATCTTTGTTGAATGCTTTTTCCACATCAATTGAGATGTTCATGTGGCTTTTGTCATTTATTCTTTTAATATGATATATTATATTGATTAATTTGACAGTGTTAAACTGGCCTTGCATGCCAGAGATAAATCCTACTTGGTTATGGTGTAAAATCTGATTGATATGTTGGGTTTGGTTTACTAATATTTTATTGAGGATATTTGTACCACTATTTATCAGATAAATTGGCCTGTAGTTTTCTTATGATACCTTTGTTTGGCTTAGGTGTCAAGGTGTTGCTGCCTTATAAGTGTGTTTCAAAGTATCCTCTCTAGGCCTATTCTTTGGAAAAGTTGGTAGAATTCAGCTGTGAAGCCATCCGGTGCTGGGCTTCTCTTTCTTGAGTTTTTATTTGTTCAATCTCTATTTGTTGTTGGCCACACTGGGAATTTAAAACAACTATAATTAATATGGCAAGGGCTCCAGTGGATAAGGTAGATAGCATGCAGGAAGAGATAGGCAATGTGAGCAGAGAGATAGATATTTTAAGAAGGAATTGAAAAGAAATGCTGTAGTTCAAAAATGTTGTAACAGAAATGAAGAATGCCTTGGGCTTATTAGTAGACAGGACATGGTGGAGGACAGAGTCTCTGAGCTTGCAGTTATCTTGATAGAAACTTCCAGAACTGATAAGCAGAGAGAAAAAAAGAGACTTAAAACAATAACAACAACAACAACAACCAGAACAGTATATCTATGGGGTGTGGAATAACAACAAAATGCACCAATCAGAAGAAAATGCCAGAGTGGATCAAAAAACAAGACCCAAATGTATATTGCCTATAAGACACATACAAGAAAAAGTAAGAGGTTTAATCCTTTTGTGGTTCATAAATGTAATGATTGAGTTTCTTACACTCATGTGTGAGATGCACTTCTCTCAAAACTTGTTGCAATGTTGCCATACCAGGTTGATGTGGAAAAAAAGTAAGGGATTTGAGAAAGATATACCATACTAACACTAATAAAAAGAAAGGGACAGTAGCTATATTAATTTGAGGCACAGCAGATTTTATAGCAAGTAAAATTATTAGAAATAAAGAGGGGTATTGCATAGTAATAAAGAAGTAAACTCCGCAGGATGATATAACAATCCTTAATGAATATACACCCAGCAATAGAACATGAAAATACATGAGTCAAAAACTGATAGAACTTCAAAGAAAAATAAGATTAATTTACTATTATCTTTAGAGATTTCAACATGTCTCTATTAAAAATGAGTTGATCATGCAGGTAAAGTCCTACTTATGTCATAGTTGAATTCAACAACTGGAAGTTAATAAACTGGATATAACTGACATCTATAGACTGCTTCATCACACAGCAGCCAGTTGCACATTTTCCTCAAGCTTACATGAAATATTTGCCAAGATAGACCATATTCTGGGCCATAAAACACTAACAAATTTTAAATAATAGAAATTATACAATGTCTGCTCTCAGACCACAACAGAAATAAATTAGAAACCAATTTCTTTTTTTTTCTCTTTCCAGAAAGACAGCTGGAAAATCCCCCAAATATTTGGAGATTAAATAATACATTGATAAATAACATGTTAGTCAAAGAAGAAATTTTAAGATAACTTTTTTAAAATTTTTGAGCTGAATGAAAATAAAAACAAAACTTTTAAAAAATTTCTGAGATGCAGTGAAAATAGTGCTTAAAGGGAAAGTTACAGCATCAAACATATATACTAGAAGAAAGATCTAAAATCAGTACTCTAAGCTTTTACCTTAGGAAACTAGAAAAAAAAAAAGCAAATTAAATCCAAAGTAAGCATAAAAAAGAATTGCTGAAAATCAGAAAAGAAATTAATGAAATTATAATTAGAAAATTAATAGAGAAAGTCAGCAAAACCAAAATCTTGTTTATTGAAAAGATCAATAAAATTAATAAGCCTTCATCCAGGCTAAGAAAAAAACAGGATACAGATTAAGAGAAAGAAAAGAGAGACTATCACTCTGGATTCCATGGATGTTGAAAGGAGAATAAAAGAATATTATGAGCAACTTTATCTCCACAAATATGATAACCTATTAGATGAAATGCAACAATTCCTTGATAGGCATAATCTGCCAAAATCACACAAAAAGAAATAGATTATCTGAATAGACCTATATTAAATTAAATCAATAATTAATAATCTTTCAAAACAGAGACCACTGGGTCTAAATGGATTCACTAGTAAATTCTACCAAACATTTAAAGGAGAAATTATATCAATCTACAATCTTTTTTAGAAGATAGAAGAGGGAATACTATCTACCCCATTCTATGAGGCTGGCATTGCCCTAATAACAAAAAAGAAAAAGACATTATAAGAAAACTACACACCAATATCTCCCATGAACATAATTGCAAAAATCCTCAACAAAATGTTATCAAATAGAATCCAAATATATATTTTAAAAATTATAAACCACTACTAAGTGGGATTCATTCCAGGTATGTTAGTCTGGTTCAACATTTGAAAATCAGTTAATGTAAGCCATTGTATCAATAGGCTAAATGAGAAAAAAAAATGTGATCATATCAGTAGATGCAGAAAAAGCATTTTTCAAAATCTAACATTATTACTGATGATTAAAAAAAGCTTAGAAAACTAGGAATAGAGGGGAGCCTCCTTAACTTATTAAAAACACTTATAAAAGAAAACATACAGCTAACATTATACTTAATTAGAAGAAACTTCAAGCGTTTCCAGTAAGACCAGCAGCAAAACAAGGATGTCTCCTCTCACCACTCCTTTTTGACATCATAATAGAAATTCTAGCTGATGCAATAAGACAAGAAAAGGAAATAAAGTGCATTCAGATTGGGAAGGAAGAAATAAAACTGTCTCTGTTTATGGATAACAATTATCTATTTGGAAAATCAATAATTAATTTAAAACTTTCTTAGAACTAATAAGTGATTATAGAAAGTTTGCAGAATATAAAGTTAATGTACAAAACTCAATCACTTTTCTACATACCAGCAATAAATAAGTGAAAATTAAAATTAAAAGCACAATAATATTTACATTATTACACCCAAAATGAAATACTTAGATATAAATCTATGAATGTATGTACAAAATCTACATGAGAAAAAACTTTAAAAGTCTGATGAAAAAGCCTAAAAAGAACTAAATAAATGAAGAAATATTTCATGTTCATGGAGAGGAAGGCTGATATCATCCAGATGTCAATGCTTGCCAACTTGATCTATAGGTTCAAAGCAATCTTAATGAAAATCCTAGCATATTAATTTGTACATGTAAACAAACTGTAAAGTTTACATGGAAAGGAAAAAAATCCAGAATAGCCAACACAGCATCGAAGGAGAAGAGCAGAGTTAGACAACTAATACTGCCTGCCTTCAAGACTTACTATTATATAAAGCTACAGCATTCAAGAGAGTGTGGTATTGGCAAAATAAAAGACAAATGGGTCAATGGAACAGAACAGAGAGCCCAGCAATAGACCCATGTAAATACATTCAACTGATTTTTGACAAAGAAGCAAAGAAAATATAGTGGAGAAAAAAATTCTTTCAGCAAATGGTGCTGTAATAGATAGACATGTGGGAGAAGAAAAGGAAAGAGAAGAGAGAGAAGGGGGGAAGGAAAGGGGAGAGGAGAGGAGGAATCTAGGCACAGACCTTACATCCTTCACAAAAATTAACTCAGTTGGCTCCCAGACCTAAATATAAAATATGAAACTCTAAAACCTTAGGAGATAACATGGAAGAAAATCTAGATAACCTTGGGGTGGGCAATGGCTTTTTGCATATGACACCAAAGGCACTATCTATGAAAGAAACAATTGATAAGCTGAACTTGATTAGGAAACCCCTGCTCTACAAAAGACACTTTCAAAAAAATGAAAAGACAAATTATGAACTGGGAAAAAATATCAAATAAAGAACTATTATCCAAAATATACAAAGAACTTTGAAGACTCAACAATAAGAAAACAAACAACTCAATTAAAAAATAGACCAAGGACCTCAACAGATACCTCCCCAAAGAAGATATACAGATGTAAAATAAGCATATGAAAAGATGTTTTGCATCATGACATCACGGAAATGCAAATTAAAACAATGAGATACTACTACACACCTATTAGAATGGCCAAAATCCAGAACACTAACACCATCAAATCCTGATGAGGATGTGAAGAAAGAGGAACAATCACTTATTGCTGGTGGGACTGTGCAATGGCACCACTACTTTGGAGGACAGTTTGACAGTTTCTTACAAAACTAAACAAACTCTTGCTATATGGTGTAGTAATAATGTTTCTTGTTATTTTCCCAAAGCAGCTGAAAACTTATGTCCATAAAAACCTGTACAGAGATGTTTATAGCGGCTTTACTTATAATTATTAAAACTTGGACAACTAAGTTGTCCTTCAGTAGGTAAATGAATCAATAGACTGTGGCACATGTAGGCAATAGAATATTATTCAGAGCTAAAAAGAAATGAGCTATCTAGTCATGAAAAAACATGAAAGAAACTTAAATTCACATTATTAAGTGCCAATCTTAATAAGCTACATATTGTATGAATCTAATTATATGGCATTCTGGAAAAGGCAAAATTAAGGAGACAATAAAAAGATCAGTGGTTTCCAGGGGTTGGAGTGGAGAGAGGATTATCACTGCAGAAACTTTAAAAATGTTTTAATGAAGAGACTATTAGGAACAACTTGGTGCCAACAAATTTGATGACTTAAAAGAAACAAGGACAAATTTCTTGTAGAATCCAACTTACAAAATTAACACAAAATGAAACAGAAAATCTGAATAACCTTGCATCAGTTAACTCAATTGAATTCATTGTCAGAAAGCTTTTTGAGCAGGAAGTCTCCAGGACCGTATGGTTTTACTTAAAATGTTCAAGGAAAAATGTGTATAAAATGTTCAAGGAAAAATAACACCAATCTTACCCAAAAATCTTTGAGAAAATAGATGAATATGAAACTTTTCACAGCTTATTTCATAAGGCGAGCAGAACTCTAGCACCAAAACCTGACACAGACATTATAAAATAATAATAATAATAGACCAATACACACATCCTTTAAACGTCAGCAAATCAATATTTATAATTTATGTACACATAAAGGGATAACACATCATAACTTGGTAAGATTTATCTAGGATAAAAAGAAGTCAATCTACCATAGCAACAAAATAAAAGTTAAAAAAAAATGTTCATTTTAATAGATGCAGAAAAAGCATTCATCAAAATGCAATATTCATTCTTTATAAATACTCTTGGCAAACTAGAAATACTAGAGAATTTTCTAATCTGATAAAGGGCATTTACCAAAAAACCTATAGCCAATTTGTACTTTAGTTAGAAAATCTAAATTCTTCTCTCCTAAAACTGGGAACACAGCAAGAATGCTTATTGTAGTAACACCTACATAACTTTGTACTGGGGTTTCTAATCATTGCAATAAAGCCGTAAGGCGTAAGGATCTGAGAAGAGAAGTAAAACTATCTCTATTAGTATATGATGTGATTGTTCACATAGAAAATCCAAATTAATGTATGAAACAATTATCAAACTAACAAATGAGGACTAATAGCCTTAACAAGCTTACAGGATACAAAGTTAATATTTAGTACTAATATGTGAATTTATCAAGGTTAGCGGATATAAGGTTAATATGCAGAAATCAATGTTTTATGTACTAGCAGCAAAAACTGGAAAATTAAAATTTAAAAATTGTTTATTTACAATAGTGTAGAAAGCCACAAAATATTTTATAGTAAATTGAAGAAGACATGTAAGACCTTTGCAATGAAAATTAAAAAGCATTGCTGAAAAAACTAAACCAAAATAAATAAGAAGATATACTATGTTCATGGATTGGAGGACTTAACATTGTTAAATGTCAAATTACCCTACCTGATCGG